ATTGATTGTTGCTGCTGTTTATGATGGTACATAAGCATTCTCTCGAGATACTGCTGCTGCTTCCTCTGCCCCTGCCGCTGCTGCTGCTGCTGCTGCAGCTGCAGCAGCAGCTGCTGCTGCTGCTGCTGGTGTGGCGGCAGCAGTTTGCTGCTGATTGCATGCCCTGCAGCAGCAACAGGAGGCAGCAGCAGCTGCCCCCTAACCCACACCATCGTCCCTCTTTTTACTGCTTTTTTAAATCGGTGTCTTATAGGCAAACTATCATAAAACTGCTGCAGCACAGAACGAGAGTTTATGCTGCCACCTAAACGCAATACAGATATACTCAATACTCCTCCTGCTGCTGCTGCTGCTGCTGCTCCTGCTGCTGCTGCTGCTGGTGCTGCTGGTGGTGGTGGTGCTGATGGTGGTGCTGGTGGTGGTGGTGCTGGTGGTGGTGGTGGTGGTGGTGGTGGTGATGGTGGGGGTGGTGATGGGCGTGAGGAGGATTCTGCTGCAGGAGATGGTGTTGCTGCTGCTGCTGCTGCTGCTGCTGCTGCTGCTGCTGCAGTAGGTCCTACTGCTGTTTGTTTTGCTGCTGAGGTGTATAGACACCTCAGCCCTGTTGCTGTTGCTGTTGCTGCTGCTGCTGCTCGTGTTGCAGCTGCATTTGTTCTTGCTGCTGGTGGTGGTGGTGATGGTGCTGCTGCTGCTGCTGCTGCTGCTGTTGCTGCTGCAGTTGCTCGCCTTGCTGCCGTCCGCTGCTGCAGCAGCAAATGCTGCTGCAGCAGAGGCAGCCGCCAAGCACCCAAAGACAGCATGGTACCGATTTCTGCTGTTTTGGTTGCAGCAGCAGCTGCTGGTGCTGCAGCAGCTGCAGCAGCAGCAGCTGCTGCTGCTGCTGCTGCTGCTGGGGTTGTAGTTGCTGCCTCTGCTTGTTTGCTGCTTCTCTGCGATCGGCGCTGCTGCCGCTACCAACTGAACTTCCTGTGCTGCTGCTGCTGCTTCACGTGCTGCTGCTGCTGCTGCTGCTGCTGCTGCTGCCTAAGCCGCTGCCGACAACGCAGCGAAGGTACACTGCAGCAGCCGTTGAGGGGGAGAAGAGAAATAAAGGAAAAACAAAAATATAAATTTATTTAATTTGCTGC